GACCCGCAGTGCAGCGTGGCGGTGTGAAAACCGCATTCCATTGGGAGCCGGTGTCCAGTTCATCGGATCATACGCCCTTCGGACGGGGTCAAACAACCAGGGTGCTTAATACACCTCAATGCCCAATCGAGCCGGTGACCATTGCCACAACCAGGAAGGTGTGCGTATGGTCCGTACGCCTTTTCTTAGTTGGTTTGGTATCAGGGTTTGTGGCCAACTCCCCTAGGTGAACTGCTAGTGGTCCACGAAGCCGGTCGGCTGTTTGTCCTCTCACTTTGGTGCGAAAAGACCACCGCCACGAGAAGGCAGGTGTCACTAGCATGGGTGACGCCAAAATCATGGGACACAAACTAGTCCGTTGGTAATATCCTGTCAACTGAGAGAACGCTGGAAGATTGGCATGACTAAAAGACCCGGCGATTTATCACGCATTATCTAGCCGTAACGACATGATTTCTAAGTAGTTTATGATTCTCCCAAGGCAACTGCGTAATACTAAAGAATGTGTATAATGTATTGCTCAAACATTGCGTGTCCTTTATATTTCCCAAGGACGCTTACAATAAGCTGAAATAAACCATGAGGTCATCATTCAAAAGTCTGGGTATGCAAAGCATACGTCAGATAAGGTTGATTACCCAGATGTCAACTGGTACGCGGAACATATGATAATTCTTAATAGTATAATTGATTAGTGCATCGTGCGATGTACCCATAACGACTGGACACTACAACGACATAATCAGTTGAATCATACACATCGACAACGGTCTACAGAGATGATTCAGTGTAATATGGAAGAAAATTTTTTATGAAGATAATTCGACCGATCAAAAGCACTGAAGAATTCTGTGGACAAGCTGATTACAACGGAAAATCATTGAGAAAATTTCAAGTCAATCAAAATATGAAACTAACCGACGAAGGATTATCAGGATCTTCGAAATCTAAGGCATACGTTTTGAAGGAATCTGATTCTTGAGGTGTCTCATTGAGCCCTGCAGCCTGTGGCAATGGCCTCTTACGATGAGCACGCGATCGAGCGATTAAATAAGCACTGGGAAAAGATGAAAACAATTAGAGAACCCAGACAATCAGCAAATAAGAACCGTCACACAGCTTTCAAATGGCGTGAAGACGAAAGTACACTATTGCCAATGATGAAAAGATAGTGAAAACGAGAAATGAGAGCAGACACTAAACCAATGCCATAGAAAAACGAAAATAAGATGGCCCAGGGAATATTATTGGACGATGGAACATATATTTGTGTATGGCGTCAGATGCGTGAGTAAAACCGGAATAGAATGTTTTTTTCCAGAACGGGGAATGTTATTCACAACACCGAGGTAGTTTCCAATTGACCTGAAAAGGGTTAAATGGTTCACTCCCGAATGCACACAGAGGCTGTTTCATTTAATGCAAGAACCATAGCACAACTGAAACATGAATAGGATCCATTTAAAATAGGAGAGTAACCAAGATAAATGGCTAACTGAGGAAGGTTAGTAAGCTTTAAAAATTTACTTGGCAATCAACTGACACGAGGTTATTGCATTAGAACTTAGACTACAGGAACAAAATGCAATTAGAGACAGAAGTTGCTTCCGAATAGGGTTCCACAAAGGTCTCGAATTCTGAATCTAACAAAACTATTTCCGTGTTCAACTGTTTCACCCTCTTTCCTCTTTGTTCCGTATCTCAATACACCTACCCCTAATATTGTTATTGTTATTAATGCTGTGGTGGTGGCATCCTGGTTGTCTACCAGCCCATATAGTCCAGTAAAAGGTTTGGATACGGAATATGCAATGCGCAGCGTTTTTAAAGAAACAAGCAAAGTAATAGCGCGGCATACATATCGTAACCCGTTTATGATTCTATCGAAATAAGCGCGTTAGTATTACAAAGAGCGACCATTTCCGTTTTATAAACTCGGTGCAGTTTTCGAGCACATGTTCTACGAGGTTCCGGAACACTTCCTTTGAGATAGGCGACAATTTCCGTTCTAGAGAAGTTATACTTGAATCTTATGTTCACTCCCCCCCCCGCAATGAGACGCAGCCTTCGATTTAGAATACTTCACCTGCTCTTCGTTAGGTTGAAATCTGGGTCGCAAGCAGGCCATGGCATCTTTCTAATACTGTGAAACAATGAAGAACTTCTGGCCAGGTGTGCTTGTAGAAAACATCCAGGTCAAAAGCTTTTAGTAATCATTTATGTACCATATAGTATTACCCAACGGCTTTGGCCTAACCAAGACATTGATCATTATTTCTCCTCAACCTATTCCGACAACACTGTCACTCGTATCGATCCAATATTTGGAGCACAGTAAGAAAACTGATGGAAGGTTGAGGCTGACGTAATTTTGATTCATATCCCTAAAGAAATGAGTTTACGTCAACCGGTTTATCTAACTAGACAAAAAGGTCCCCACTCCTACCGATTGGTAAAGCCTTTACTCACAGTTTACTACCATCGGCGTTTAACTAATAAGGGCATGAAAACCAGAAAGCTTTGTATCGCATTTCTTCATATCCGCAACCGTTGCCAATGAGTAAACACAACGCCTCCAACAAGTGGACCAAATTCTACTCAAGTCGAGGAAACCACAGGCAGCGGCTGAAGTCTGCAAAACCGAAACAATTAGAAACAAAACATTTAGGACCATGGCAACCTATGCACATGTACAGATAAGTTACGATGCACTATAACCTCAACTGCGGTGATAATAAAATGAATCATTCCATAGAAAGTGCTGCTGTGCTCAGGTTCGAGCTGAGAGATAGAAGACATCAGTTGTGAATAATCAAAACCTAGAAGTTTGAAACATTTTTCCTGTGGTAAAAATAACATTATTAGTGTGTCGAGGCCACAAATTTCATTCATATAAACACATTAACCTGACATTAACCGGAAAAAGATGACTCAAGCACTGTCATAAATTTTCAGTTTTAGGATGATTTTGACATGAGGCGCAAAGTTGCTTTGGTTACAATTTACATACTGACTGACTTATTTGATTCTCGCATTTCAGAGGTGACACTAGGAATCCCAATCCCTCAGTGGTTACATTTTATTCAGCAAAGACGACGTTAATCGAGTAAGATGAAAACGTACGGAATCACCCTTGCTGAATGTGAATATCCATTTTTTATAATGACCACCGCTTTCACAACTCATACTATAGACCGGGTGACTGAGTAGTGCAATTGCTCACAACGTACACAACCAAGATCTTTCCGGCTTTTATGACGCTTCCTCATCAAGCGAAGAACATTTTACACCGTACACACTAAGGTTTCCCCAGTCGCCACCCCCCCCCCATTTCACCTCTGCCCCCTCGTATACTTCCATCTCTCTCGAGCTCTTCAGACGATCGAACTAACAGTAATGCCATTGGTGGAAATTTCGCCGCTGTTCTCTTGTGTCCTACTTCGACTACCGTCCAAGTCTCACCGAATTCTCAACTAACTAAAGCCCTTCTTCGTGCACGATGTCCGTTCAAACCACCCACGTTTAATGTGCATATTCTGTTGCGCACAGGACAACAGGTGTGCTTAGCTCGTACGCTCGAAACCCTAACCATCGATGGGTATTGCATCCGAGAAACTCGCATTCAAGACTTCAGCTCCATTATCCGACTGAAGTCCCCATCAAACTAATCTGCAAAGATTCACTTACGCCTCTCTGGGGACCAAGAGGCTGCGACTTCCGGTTTCGCTAGCGTTGGGGTGGCTCTCAGTGAGAGAGCAGAAACTGCGCTCCTGGATTGGATCTCAGTCGACAGTAGGTTGTGCGCAGTGAGACTCCGAGGTTCGTGCAAAGTAAGCAGCCGTCGCCTCGATTGCTTATCGCGTCGGCGAACGCTCAAACGTACTGCAGCCCAAACACGATCAAAGATGAATTTGAGCGAAGATTACACGACATCTTGCGTAAGGCGATCCGGGATGATATCAACATTTTAGCAGGAGATATGAATGCTACAGCGGGGAAGCTAACTTGGAGTGAGGTACATCCAGAAGATTCTTTCGGACTTGATTCCTGTCGCTCGGAAAACGGCTGTTGGCTGTATGTCCCGACCATTGCTCATTCCTTGCCAGTAGGAACTTCCGATGATTCAACTGTCGGCACACTACTAGGCATCCGCCCTCCTCTAGTCAAGGACGGACGCAGGTCAACCACATCGCTATGAGCGCAAATGGCGGGTGTATACAAGACTGACGACTGTACTGGAGCACTACCCACTAATCCAACCACGGATTAGTAGGCACCAAGCGGGCTGTGCTTCGGTGGGCTTTCCAAACGCACGACAAAACTATAAGCGATAAGCTGCCAAACCAGCTGTTCTATCTTCCAAAACACGCTAGGCGAGAAGTTAGGACCAACCTAACCTGATAACATCAATCAGCACTGGTCACGTATCAAGAATGCTCTGCATTCTGCTGGCTTAGTTAGTTGTAGTCTGACACGTCATGAGGTGAGCCACTGGATTTCTACGTAGTCTCTATGCCTTCTTGACGCACGTCGGACAATTCGGACCGGCAGCGAGAATATTGAAATACGACTCGTAACGAGACGTGAACTTAACGCTAGCCTACGCAGAGACCGCGGGACTTCGTGGACTCAACGCACGTCAAAGATGGAACGTGCTGCCGCTATGGGAAAATCCCTTAGGCTGTTCCAGTTCATCCGGATCACCGGCGGGAAAGCCTTGAGTGTGAGCGAGGCGACGTGCAACAACAATAATCAACAGGGACGTCCAGCACATTGGGAGGAGCACTTCGAGGCCGAGTTTAGCTGGCTACCAGAGTCAGCTTCTTACAAAGCACTGCGCTTGACCGCAAGCCGGTGATAAATTGCTATCCATATAACACTTATTAATATATATATATATATATATATATATATATATATATATATAACAACTGACATCTGCATCGATTTGTGTCATCAAATAACCACCAACATTTAAATAGATCCAGACGAAAAAACACGGTGGGATTACCGCAATCGCGGGAAAATGAAACACTGACTGCGGAAGAATTAGTTGACTTGATTGGCTAAACTAACAAATAAAAAGGCCACAAAAACTTATGTGAACCTGTAAATGAACATATCGGCTTTAAGTGAATCATCAAACATCCGCGGTGGAGAACAGGCAAATCGAAAGCTGTGACTTTTTTGTTTTCACCCTTCTTCATTACACACCACTATGTGAACTTCTTGATAACGAAAACTAACTATTCAATTAACAGAGATGGCGAATAAACCCCTACAGATTATAATAGCAAACCCCGTGAAGCTCCAGCAAGATGGGGTGGTATAGAAACCGAAAAAACAAAGGCTAATTAACCTTTGTTTAGTATCAGTGACCAACTTTCTTTTTCTCTGCATGAATAATATTTTCAGCGAAGTAGTTCGTTTGTTACTTTTCTTATTGTTGCAACACATGAAACTCAATGAAGCTTCCGTAGTCAATGGGGAAAGTTCAGTAAAAATATGTGAAATGGTTTGCAAACACTTGAGTTTGCCATCTGTAACACCGTAAAAGAGTAGTTTTAGATTTATCGTGGCTCAAACTGGTAATAGTCTCTTTATGCCAAACGTGCTTTGAAATGTCGCGCCTTGGAAAAGTAGCAGTCTATAAAATGTTACCGCCTCTAAGCGACCACTATCAATCTACGGTCACTTACAGTAGTCATGAAGGTCACATTTCATTGGTTGCTGCAGCATCCATTAAACTAAGCGATTTGGTGACTCAGTCGTTAGTTGGTACTTGTCGCAAACACGAATTACTGACGTTCGATAGGGATAAACTTGGTTTATCAGTGAAGCATTTTGTCCATTTTATGGTTCAGAATGAAAAGGAATTTATCGGTCAATCAGAAGCCCCAAATATTGGAAAGATTAGCAGGGGCAAACGAGACAGGCAGAACAAAATCATTTGGTATTTCGGGGGAGGGGGGGCAATGAATGTTCTATGGAATAGAAAATTACCAAAACGGCGTGTATGGTAGAGATACATAAGGGAAAATATCAGATTACGATTAAACGAGTATTTGAGAGACGAAATGACGCTGTTTAAAAATAAAACATTGTAAAGCGCGATCGATACGGGGAAGTGATCATAGCAAAAAGTATGGTTTGCAGAAAGCTGTAAGCTTTGTTGTTACGGTAAGTTAGACGGATGTTATAGTATCTGACGGATAATTTAGCTGTTGGAGAGAATTTCTAGAAGGTAAGTATTAACTACCGACTAAACCAACGTCTTTCCGGTTTATGGAAAAGGATAAAATTTATTCGCAAGACGTATGAGTTTCGGTGTGGAACAAGAAAATATGCTGACAAACGTATACAATAAGGTGAATGCAGCAGCGTAGTACTACTTAATTTTACCGGAAAACACTGGAATACTCCCAAGTTGCTGGACGAAGTATACAGTTCAGTTCTCTTTGACGGCCACTAACTATGCACTTTCGCTCGCCGGTTTTAGTTGCTGTCTTTTAGCTGAATGACAGGAGAAGCACAGGAAAGGTGAAGGTAGAGTCGAAGAGCAAATTGAGAAATCCAGTAAACTATGGTTGCCGAGAAATTGAGAAGATGCACGAAAGACACTGATTACGACATCCAACCATTTCATTCAGTGACCGTAACCATCGGCTACGATCTTCTCGCGCTCCCCAGCCAGGGAGCTTAACAGGAAGTATATGAACCAGTTCCCTAATGAGGGTTTTCATACCCCCATGGCAGGTCTTAGTTTGACAATCCCTGACTTTCTTCTACCCACCACATGCCTCGGCGAACATCTCTCGCCGTGGCAACCTATCTGGTGACATCCGTAACAAATGTCGGAAACAACGTAATCTAAGGAGGTTGACCACTTGCTCCAGTGGGAGACCGCGGATACCCTAAACTCCGTCAGACTCCTTAATTACCTCACTTACTGCACTAAACAGACTAGTTTCTCACCCGTCGAGATTACTTACCTGGGCAGGGATAAAACATGGCCAGTCTTGTCGGTGGACATCAGTTAAAAGGTACCACGAAAAGTGGGAGATATGTATCAGTTATGAAGAAAATGTTTCCAAAATTTCATGAAAAACAGTAGTCTGGAAAACTTAACTTAACGCTCCATGTCATGTTTCACGAGGGTTGTAAATCTATTCAGTTAAGGAGTCTGGTTCACTTATTATTTGCTTTTAGACTTCAGAAAAGATGCGTTACTCTAG